TATGGACTTGGTTCCGACTCATAACAATCCTGTATAGGGTTTCAGAAGCTGTAAATCTTTAAGGGAGCAGAAAGTTTCATCTTTCTCCCACAGAACCACTGGTTTCGAACTGCTGACCGTGAGATCAGCAAACCAACTTATAACCACTATACTACAGGAGCGCCTTAAAACACTCTGGACATAGCACACTAATCATTCTTGAACAAACTCCCCAAAGCAGAAGCTTCTTCTTTTACAAGATCAATCTAATGTCAAGTATACTACTGTTGTTAACTGTTATACAGGGTTTCTGAGGAGTAGCTAGTGGGTTTGAACTGCCTCCCTTGCAGGCCCGTGCTTTATCCTACAGTGCCACACTAGGACTATCCTATTCTCTGTTGTACCTCTGCCAGAACTCCAACTTCAGAAACAGGTATATTTATCTCGTGACAATCTTTGGCCCCAATTTTCATTTAAATGAGCTCTTACAACAATACTTTGTTGATTCCAGGTACCACATCTTAAACTAGGGACACCAGATGTTAGCTCAGAATATCACCTAAATATAAAACCTAGAACTATAGAGATCATCAATGAAAACACAGACAAACTTAGGGGCTCTAATATACATACACTATCCAACAGAAGACAAAATAGATAACAAACACCTCCTAAAACTGTGAAACTTATACGTGTATCAAAAGATTTCTCCAAAAGAGTAAAAAGGGAGCCCAAAGACTGGGAAACATTTTTTTTTGCAACGACATATCAGACAGACAAGGGATTAATATTTTCAATTTATAGAAAACTACGATACCTTTACAAGAAAAAGACAAACAACCCAATTTAAAAAATGGGCACAGGACATGAACAGACACTTTATCAAGGAAGACATTCAGGCAGTCAGCTAACATAAGGAAATATTCACAATCATCAGTCACTGCTGTTGTATAGTTGGTTCCGACTCATAGTGACCCTGCACAGGGTTTCCGAGGCTGTAAATCTTTACGGGAGCAGAAAGCCTCATCTTTCTCCCATGGAGCAGCTGGTAGTTTCAAACTGCTGACCTTGAGGTTAGCAGCCCAATTTGTAACCACTACGCTACCAGAGCTCCTTAGACAGATGCAAATCAAAACAACAATGAGATACAAAATCTCATACCAATATTAACAGTGAAATTAAAAAGAAAAAACAGAAAACCACAAAAGCTGGTGAGAGTATGGAGACTAGGACCCACTTATATTGCTGGTAGGCTGTAAAATGGTTTAACCACTCTTGAAAACCCTATGGACGCTTCCTCAGAAAGTTGGAAACAGAAATATCTTATGATCCAGCAATCCCTCTAATTGATACATATCCAAAAGAAATACCAGCCAGGACACAAGTAGATACCTGCACCCCTATATTCATCACAGTGCTATTTACAATAGCAAAAAGATGGAGACAGCCTAAGTGTCCATCAACAGAAGGATGGATAAACAAACTTTGGTACATACACACAACGGAATACTATGCAACACAGAATATTATGAAACACAGAAGAATAACAATGAATATGTAAAACAACTCATTACATGGATGAGCCTGGAAGACATTTACTGAGTAAAATTAGTCAATCACAAAAGGATAAATATTGGATGAGACCATTATTGTAAAAGCGTAAGAGAAGGTTTAAATTCCTATAAGAAACAATCCTTTGATGGGTTACAAGTGGTAGGAAGGAGGGGAGAGTAATTCATTAAACTAGTGGATAGAGCAATTCACTAGCTAATGGGTAGACACACTTGATAGGGAGGGAAACACACAAGTGGGGGAGGGCAATAAACAAGAAAAGGGTGGGTGGTAGAAGAATAAAGACATAGATGAAGACACAGGAAGGTATGCATGAACTAAAGGAGATAGAGGTTGTTGTTCTTAGGTGCCATCGAGTCAGTACCAAATCATAGCAACCCTAGAGATAAACAGTGATATATACACAATCCTGGAACAACAGTGATCTGTGTACAGATGAATGGGTAAGTGAGGACAGGCGAGATTTATACATATTTATATACCCCCACAAATATATAATAGTTTGAAAGAGGACATTTGTACATGAATCTTTTACTTTTACTGTAAACACAACTACGAATGTGGTGGAACATGCAGCAAGCAAAACAATGAAAACTTCCTAGATATTATCAAACATCTTAAGGTATGAGTTGATGGTCCTGGGAGCTGAGGACCATAGACTAGGGGGCACCATGGGCAATTGGCATAACATAGTTCACAAAGACAACGTTCTATATCCTGCTTGGGTGAGTAGTGTCTGGGATCTTGAAGGCTCATGAGTAGCAGTCTAAGGTGCAGTTCTCGCCATGTGTGGTAAGAATTGAAGAGGCTTGGAATCAGCTAATTCAATGGACTAATGGAACATGTGAACATCAGTCTCCACAACTCTTAAGACCAGAACTAGTACCTGCTACCACTATCAACTGCCCTGAAAGGGACCACATTAGAGGATCCCAGACAGAGTGGGAGAAAATGTGGAATAAAACTCTAAATCATTTAATAACAGTAATAATAAAGACTGGGCTTACTGGTCAGAAAGAAACTGAAGAAATGTGAGATTACGGTTGTAGACCACCCTTCAGATCTGAAAAGGCACTCATCCTCATTCCTCATGGCCCAATTTTCAGCCCATCAAGTAGACAGGTTTATAGGGCTGAACAACACTAGCAGAGCAGGCTCACCCTGGAACGGTCAATCATTCAAAATCAAAAGGGCAACATTTTCCTAAAGATAAAGTTGAGAAGGGAAAGGAAGATGGATGGAATACAAAAGGAAGCAGGGTAACTGTTGTTGTATGGTGGGGATTACAATCATCAAAATGAAACAAAGTGTATTGTTTGTTAAATGTAAAACTGATTATCTTGGCTGTAAACCTTCAATTTACAATAAAAAGTTTTTTAAAATACGGCATGAAGTAAATTAATCACAGAAGGACAAATACTGTTATGACCTCACTTATATGAAATATCTAGAATAGACAAACGTATAGAGATAAAAGTTTACTAATAGTTACCAGTGGCCAGAGGGAAAGGGGGAAAGGAATCATTGTTTAGGAAACAGAGTTTCTGTTTATGAAGATAGAAAATGTGGCAAACGATATTGGGAAAGGTTTCACAATTAAGATAATTTGTGTCACTAAATTATACATGTGAAAAAATTGTTAGCAAGTATTTTTCACATATTTTTACAAGTTAAAATTATTTTTAAAAATCTAAACTTTTTTAAGCACTATGAAATTACACTTATTTCTCCTTAACTGACTATCTTGTTATCCAACATTGCCCATTTGTGACAATTGTACAAATCTACTCTCCAACTACTGCACATTAACAGTGTATATTTGAAAGTCACAAACACCAAAGTGCAAAGTGACAGTAATGCTGGCTATGAGGGGTAAAGTTATGTGTGAACTTGGCTGGGTTATGATTCTTGGTGGCTTGCAGTTATACAATGAAGTAGTTATCTTCCATTTTGTGATCTGATATAGGTTTCTTCTACTTTTGCATAATAACTTGGTCTTTGGAACATGTCAGTAAGTGAGAAGTGAGTGCCATTTGTGTACAAGATCATCTTGAAGCAGTAACTTGACTTCTTATATGCACTCTGTAATGTTCTGGACTTACAATGAAGCAAGTTCATTTCCAGTTATTCTTTTCCTAATGATGATCACTTGTAAAACAAGCAAACAACAAACCCATCTGTGTATTTTAAAACAGTTTTCAAAATATTCTTAACAAAAAACATTAAAGGCTTAGTAAAATATATATTTGCAATGTGACTCTGAAAAACATAGACTATAAAACGACCAAAGTCACTCTGAAATTTCTATGAAATAAGCTTTGACTATTACCATATATTAGAAAGCCCAAACAAGATTAAAATTCAGGAAGAGATGTGGGTTCTAGTTACAGGGCATCCATTAACTACCTGAAATATTGGACCAAATTATTTTATTTATCTGAAAAGCAGTAACTAATATGCAACTTGCATATGATACGGATGCATGTATCTGAATGAACGCATGCACATATGTACTTAAAGACTGCAATCTACTCTGGGCCTAAAATTGTATATAATTGTTTTTTGTTTTAAATCATTTGGAGCTTCTGAGTTAACTCAGTAAAGCACCATTTTATCTGTTTTAGTCTTAATATAGTTAAAAGTTTAAAACATTTTAAAATCTGTGATTATAGGTAAGATATAAGAAAGGATTTTAATATCTATAATAACAGTATCAATATGCTTAATAAGATTTTAAAAACAGTACAGTGTTACTGAAAAAAATAAAACCATTCTAGAGAAGCTTACTTCCCACCATTGTGCTCACCTTCTATCTGAAAACACTTTTTTTTTTTTTTTTAACTTTTTACTGTGAACTTAATGAAGGTTTACAGAGAAGATCATCAGTTTAACATTCGACACCTCAGACACTTTGTTTCATCTCAATGACTGCAATCCCCTCCACACAGCATCAGCCATTCCACGACATCCATGTGGTTGCATTTTCCTTCTACACTAGACTAGTTCCATTCCTTTTACTCTTGACTGTTGACCATTCCATGTGAGCATATATTACTAATACTCATATTTCTTGATGCGTCTTGATTCTTTCTCTAAAATATAGTCACTGGTTCTCCTATCTCTGGGGAAAAAAAACCTTATCTCTTTTGTCAAACTTAAAGTCAGTCCTGATATGGAGAACAATGATAGTTTTCCCTAACTTTGCAGGACTGGGTAGAGAGTGGCCGACACTATCAAAACTCTTAGGGGAGATGGTGTGACACTCTAGGATAAATCTGGACCAGAAACCACAGGTCAGCATTTCAAACCCATCAGTCACTCTCAGAAATCCAGCACAGGATAGCTGTGAGTTGGAACTGACGGGATGGCATACAACAACAGGAGAGATGGCAGACCTGAAATGAAAATGCTTACACTTTTTCATCAGAAGTAAAATTTAAGCAACTTACCATTGTTCCAAAAGGAATGGCTCTTGAAGCATGGTAATAAATGGCTATAAAATTAATGAAGAAGGCAGTGCCACACACCATTGCTGGGATCAGGAATGCTCCAATAAACATCTGTTTTATCCATCTCCTTCCTGAAAGACAAGGGAAACTATGAAAACCAGAAAAACAGACACATGTTCATATTTAAAATACCAAATTAGTTATTTAAAAATTTAATTTACACATCTTGAAATCTTAATTAACAACAAAAAGACATAAAATGGACAAAGGACTTAAAAACACATTTCACCAAAGATGACATTCAAATTGTCACGAGACACATGAAAAGACACCCAGTGTTTAGGATGCAAATCAAAACCACACTATACACCAACTGGGATGGCTCGGATTAAAACAACAACAACAACAACAAACAAACAGAAAATAGTAAGTATTAGATGTGGGAAAATTACAATCCTTATCCATTGTTGGTGGGAATGCAAAATAGTATGGCAGTTCCTCAAAAAAGAGGAAAAAAAAAAAAACTACCATATGACCCAGCAATTCCACTTCTAGGTTTATACCTAAAAGACTTGAAAGCAGACTCGAGAAACGTGTGTACCAATGTTCAAGGTGGTACTATTCACAATAGGCAAAAGGTGGAAACAACCTAAATGCCCATCAACAAATGAATAGAAGACAAAGTGTAGTACATATATACAATGGAACACTACTCATCCAGTAGGAGAAATGAAGTCTTGATACATGCTACAATACGGGTGGTGCTTGAAGGCATTACGGTAAGGGAAATAAGTCAATCACAAAAGAACAAATATTGTGTGATCTCGATCACAGAAAAAGACAAGAAAAGGCAAATAAATGTATAGAGACCAAAGTTTATTAGTGGTTACTAGCAGTGCACAAGAGAGGGACAACGGTGATTAGTGCTGATGGAAAAATTGCATTGATTAAGGAAGGGTAGGGTTGCAAAACTGATTGTTATAACTGCTGTCAAGAAGTTGCAAACATGTAAAAAGGTGGTAAAGTTGTATAACATATATATACAATGATGACAGAAAAAATAATCAAAGATTTAGCTGCTGAGGCTGCTTATGTACAACCAAGCGCCTCATAGAGTTCCTTGGTTGGAGGTTTAGGTCATGGCAGTTTCATTGAGACATCCCAGTTAACTGGCCTAATAAAGTGTTAACGTGTTCTGTTCAATCTCCTCATTCACTGCACAGTGCCTGGGATCTTAAAAGCTTGTAAGCAACCATCCAAGGCACAACTGGTCTCTATTCACCTGAACAACAGAAGGCAAACAGTCAGGAATAAAAGGAAGATATAGAATGGGTGACTAAATGCTTCCATGTTCAACTGCCTCCTTTGCCAGGAGACCAGAACAATTGGATGGTTACCAGTTATCATTACAAACATATTGATCAAAGATTCCATAGAAGAATCCTGATCAAAAGAGGGAAAAGGCAGAACAGAAATTCAAATTCTCATAGACTCTTTCTGGAGCTGTGGAAGGTAGATGAGCCCTTAATACTATTGCCCTGAGGTAATTTTTAATCCTTCAACCAACCAGAAATATCCTCCAAAGTCTCTTAAAAATAAACAATAGTTTAACTTGTTGTTTAAAGTGCCATCCAGTCAATTCCGACCTATAGCGACCATGTATAGAGTTTCCAAGGAGCAGATGGTGAGTTTGAACCACTGACACTGTAGTTCAAACAACTTTGCAGTCTGACGCATTAACCCACAGAACCACACCAGGACTCCATAGTTTAATTAGTTAAAAAAAAAAAAGAAAAGGACAGTCTTGCATATTATGTTCTTTTAAGATCTACCTATCTATATAGGAGTCCTGGTTTAGCACTGTAGGATAAGCACTGGACTGCAAGGTCAGTTTGAAATGCAAGGTCGACGGTCCAAACTCACCAGCCTCTCCTCATAAACCCTATACAGGGTGGCTATGAGTTGGAACCAACTCAGTAGTACTTAACAACATATAGGATAAAAATGACAGCAACTCGAAAGACCAAATAATAGTCTTAGGGGACAGGGAGTTTATGCTAAAGAGGGAGAAATAATCCAGAAAAGATAAGAATGCAATCAGTCTCACTAAATTGTACATGTAGAAAGCGCTGAATTGGTATATGTTTTGCTGTATATATTCTCAATAACAAAATAAAATTTAAAGAGAGAAAAAAAGATCTTGCAACTTGACATTCTAATTGTTTCAAAACATTAGGGGAAAATAAAAGTCTAGCTATTCAAGTATTTATAATGGAAACATGGCTCTTTTAGAGGGCACACTGGAAAAAAGCAGTGAACTGCAGGAAAACGTTCAGATGCTTTGTCGTGATTCTGCCACTGAACTGTGGTGAACTTTAGTAAGCCACTCAGTAAGGGGTTTTCAAACTCTTATTTGGAGCTCTGGAGCTTCTTGAGGTTGTCCATGAAGTGACTGGTGACAACAAAGCCCAGTTCTCCCAGCCCTGCTTCAGCCAAAATTCCACTTTCAACAGTTTTACACATTGAAGTTTCGAATAATCTTTCAACTGAAAAAGAATTTGTATACTGCTTTAAAGATATTTTTTAAGCCCCTAAGTTAGTCTCAGAATTTACTCTTAGATCTATCATTCTGATTATAAATATGCATTTAAATGTATTTCTGTGTTTGAAAAGAAAAAAACAATAGTGTGTTTCATGAACTCTAGCAATTAAAATCATAGATTTGTAAGTGTTACTATTTCCCTGTACACCTCTTTATATTGCCAAAACTATATAGTGAGTCAACAACAACAATTCCTTAAATAATCAAGAAAAATATTTTAGCTATGTAATCAAAAAGTTTAAACACTGTTCATAACAACCAGCCAGGTAAGCAAGAGCTGTATTACTAACAGTGTATGAGCAAGTGCACTGCTAGGGAAACATTCTGCTAAGAACAGAGTGTAAGGACTTAACACTAGATCACGCATAAGCAATAATAGGGACCCAAACAGTAAATCTCAGAGGAAAGACAAGTAGTACCTTAACTTTTGTTTTCTTTCATATAAACTTCTTTTTAAATATCCGTCTCATAGAATTACTATGCTAAATCTTGGCATTCGTTCAGAATGAAAACTCTCCGTTTCATTTCTTTTTCAGGTCAAGTTTTAAGAACCTCTCCTTTCCAACATCTAGCATTCAAACAACACAAAGAGGGTGGCAACTAACTGAAGTATTATTTTTCCTATTGAATGCTAGTTTTTTCCAAATATTCTCGCTTCTTGAACTTTCCATTATCTTCTCAGATTCCACATCCAACTCTATTTTTCCCTTTCCCCCAACAGTCAACTAGAACTCCACGTTACATAAGGTACCATTAGTAGCTCAGGCATCTGCATTCTTGCGCTTTCTACTGCTCCCCACACTCTTGGAGATACTGGTTTAAGTTCCAGACTACCCTTGGGTTCAAATGAAGCATTTTCCAGTACACTGGGTACCTTGACTTTTAAACCCACTGCCCATCAAGTTGATTCCAACTCACAGCAGCCCTGCATAGGGTTTCTGAGGCTGTAAATCTTTACAAAAGCAGAACGGTTCATCTTTCTCCTATGGAGCACTTGGTGAGTTTGAACTGCCAACCTTGTGGTTGCAGTTCCAGTGCTTATTTTATAGCACCAGTTCAAATCCTGAAATAACTCCGAGATTTTCTTCATTCTCTGCATTAACCACAATATTAACCTGGTTTTTAAGGGTTTTTTAGGCAAAATAGCAGGACATAACTAGATCTCGTCAAGGCTCTATTGGTCAGAAAATCTACAGATTAATGTTTGGTAAGATTTGATTGATATTCATAGATTTGAGCCTGAACTCTATGATCTTTCAAAAATAAGTGTAGTATGTTTTTGTTGTTAAGTACCATCGAGTCGGTTCTGACTCATAGCAATCCTGTCTAGGGTTTGAGACTTTAAATCTTTGCAGGAACAGAAAGCTTCATTTTTCTCCCATGAAGCTGGTGGGCTTGAAACACGGACCTTGTGGTTAGCAACGCGATGCGCCCCAAGTGTAGTATGGTGGTGGTGGTGGCTGTGTGCTGTGGAGTCGGAACCGACTCATAGCAATCCTGCACAGGGTTTCCGAGGCTGTAAATCTTTACGGGAACAGAAAGCCTCATCTTTCTCCTGCGAAAGAGCTGGTAGTTTGAAACTGCTGACCGTGTGGTTCGCAACCTGATTCGTAACCACTACTCTACAGTAAAGGTAATTTTCTGCTTTACATAAATCTGTTTCTGTAGGGCCTCTTTGTGTGTATACTGTGTGGTGGAGGGAGAGAGTGCTGCATCAACTAGTAGGTCTAAGTCCAATTCACAGTAGAAGTTCCTTAGACTACCATATAGGTTTCCTGAAGGTCAAATATACAGACTAAACACCTAACTAAAATAGTTGGGAATCCATAATACTATGCCCTAAAGAAACCCAAAGCAGTATCTAAACTGGAGGTACATACCATGTCAGGGTTCGTGTAATCAGTAACAAAGCAGTAGCAGTCCAGGAGACCCTGAGGTAAAAGGCAGGATCCCCTAATACCAACAGTGCCTAAGATGGGGTGTGACAGTCACATGGGGAAGTCTCTAATCTGGCAAAATAGTATTAAGATCTTTCAACAACCCTTCACCCATGAAGTAAAATAGAGAATCTATGCTTTCAACACTATTTTGATCCCAGACAATCATGAGAAAGCAAGGACACAGAACACCATTATGGGAAGCAACATCATGGAGTAGTTGTCCTTCAATCATCCATGCAGTGTTCATCATTTCTAGGTCACAGTAAAGGAGCAAGAGGACAGTAAAGAAGAAGCACCCACAGTGAGAGACTGTAGTACAAGTGACAGAAATCTGCACAGAGTCCTCTGATAAATATTAAAAGTCAACAGAAATGAACAGCTCTCTTTCCTGTTCTCTTTGCACTGTTTAGAAACTACCCAGAAACCATTAAACGTGCCTTTATATTGAGCATAAGGCTATCTGTGATGTGGAGATCTCAAGAGCTATAGAACATAAAGCAAAGGAATAGCAATACCTGTTCCTCAGGGTTAACTTCACAGTGGACAAAGGAGATCATTCATACTCATCAGAAAGAAAATTTAAGGGTTCCATAAGAACAAGATAAAAAACATAATAGATTTGGTAGAGTTCTAGGAAATGGGATAGCAAAGGGTTTTATAAGGGCTATACTGCGCATTATAAATCTGAAATACCTTAGTGTAAAATATTAGCATCTATAATTGAAAATACAAAGTGATAACTCATAAGGTACCTCCTTGTCTAGCATAAAGACTTCCTCCAAAATAACCATTCACTGGAGATGTAGCGGCATAAACAAATATAGCTGTACTGAGCATGGATCCCCTCCTATAAGGCAAAACACCATATATGATCAATTAAAACCAATAAATTAAAAAACAATCATACAGTCAATTGCATTAACATTACTTTAATTTCAAGGAAAAATTTAATACAAAGATATTATTTCCTGAACTGCAAAGAACCTCAAAAGGTTACCTAGTAAATTTCTAGTTAAGACTATACTTAAATGATACCACGCTGCTCCTAATTTTTTCTCTTTCACCTGAAATTAAATTTCCTAATAGATGCAAACAAAAATTTCTTATTTCTTTGGCAAAAATATTAGAAGCTGGCACTAAACCTGTTTTGCCACCCTGCAAACCAACTTCATCATATGAAGCATGATAATCATCTGTTAAGAAAAATGACTACATTATTCTTCATAAACTGCTAAAGATTCCTGCCTGCTGATAGGAATAAAATGAATTAAATATAATTTAAATTAATCACTATTATTTGAAATATTAGAACAATGAGATTTCCCCTATGTAGTTTCCCGTATACTATTGTGGAGCTTATTATAAGCACTAGACTGCTAGCCTCAATGTCAGAGGTTCAAACCCACTAGTTGCTCCTTAAAAACCCTACATAGGGCCGCTACAAGTTAGAACCGACTAGATGGCACTTAATAACATACTGTTAAAAATGATTTATAAAATCATTATAAACTGAATAGAACTCAAGCTCCCCTTTCAAAAAAAAAAAGGCCAATCACAAAGAAAAATACTAAAATAACAAATGACAGCACTATTTACTATGACATAGAAAAATACATAACCCACTAACAAGGATTAAGTCAAAAGTGTTGCTATAAAATCATAGAAACCTTTACTATACAAAAATATCAAAATATGAAGCTACTATTCAGAGCTATATGGAGGTCTATATACTGTAAAGGTGGTGTTCCATCCCTCAAACACTTCCTCAGAAGAATTCTATGCTCTTTAATTTACAACAAATCAAAAGGCAGTTTGGGCAACCTCAAGAGACTCAGATTGTGTTCCTTTTAAATGTTTTTGGGGGAAGAAAAAGAAATCTGAAGGTGCAAGATCAGGTCTCTAAGGTGGATGAGTTAAGGTTCCCAGTGAACTTCACAGAGACAGCTACCCCCAAAGAATAAGCAGGTACACTGTCATGATGGGAAAAATAAAAATTCCTCACTACAACTTCTCTGGTCTGTTTCTCACCAGTGCGGTTTCCAATTTTCTTAAAACTTCTTCCCAATAAGCCTCTATTGATCATCTTGTGTCATTCAAGAAAATCTATCAAGATTACCCCTATGAAATTAAAAAATACACCTACCATAATCTTATGAATTGACCTCTCTGCCTTGAATTTAATTAGCCCAGCAGATTCCCTCATATTCACTATTTTGATTGGACTTTTGGAGGCACCCTAATGAGACTAAGACACCATGTATTACTGAGAGAACTTACCTGCAGCCATCCACTGTTTAACGAAATTGTTTGGAATAAACCCATGCTTGTATGAACTAGAACCCTTAGTAGCAATACATTTTGATTTACCCTCATATAACCCTTGTCAGTTTAAGCCAAAGAATGCTCTGTAAGTATAATTTGTAAAAGCATCATCATTAATGGGTTCACTGGGATGATAGACCATGTTCATATATTAGTTGCCTCCTGACTAATGGTTATTACTATATTCTACTGTCTATCTTTGTAGAGTCCTGGTATGGTGCTATGGGATAAAGCACTGGACCGAAAGGTCGGTTTGAACCACAAGGTTAGAGGTTCAAACTCACCAGCTGCTCCTTAAAAACCCTATACAGGGCCGCTATGCATCAGAATTGACTTGACAGCACTTAACATCAACAACCTCTGTAGAATACAAACATATCACACTCCTCTGCCCAAACAGCTAAGCTCATTACCTAAAAGTGGATGCAGAATAGTTTAAATTTTCATTTTTACAATATTTAATTTCCATTACTATACACTGAAACACAAATATGGAAGCAATATAAGAATTTGTCATTCCCATGTTTAAAAAAGACTGTGGGTACCAAAGTTAATTTTTTTTTCTTAAGAACCCAAATTGAACAGTGTTAAGTACTAATTTATTCTTCCAGGAGGAACACTAACAACAGAGTCCTAGTGTGGTGCAGTAGGAAAAGCACTTGAATGCTAACAACAAGGTCTACAGCTCAAATCCACTAGCCGCTCCTCAGAAACCCTATACAGGGTCTCTATGAGTTGGAAATGACTCAAAAGTATTTAACAAAAACAACAACACTAACAAACTGGACCCATGTTCCATCTATGAGTGTTTATGTGAAGGCTTAACCATGCTGAAAACTGAAAGGCTTCTTTCAGCCTAAGACCAGTCTAATATTAATCCGAATTCCTGTGACTAAAAGTCCAAAATGACAATGAGGTACTTACCAAAGATAGTTTACTACACGGAAGTATGAGTGACTGCCAAAGCTTTAAGTATGAAACATATCCTTCACTTCTTTGTTCATAAGCAATCTATGAGCATGTATTTCCCCAAAATAGATCAATTTCATCTATACTGAAAAATCCACTGGGGCAGGGGCTGCCTTCATTCATCTATGCAAGACTGGAGAGAGGGATACCTAAGGAGCTGCTTAACCCCACTGCCCCCTCACTACGGCAAATTTCAGAGCGGCAGCAGCATCTTCACCAGGCTCACCCTTTCCTTCTCAAGCTCATGCCTTCTTGAGCAAGTGTCACATTCAGTTTGTGAGCCACTTTTATATAATACCACACACTACATTTGTACTCAACATCTAGGTATTTATGTGTACATCAAGTAAACCCAATATAGAACAATAATCTATAGTAATGACATCAAAATAACAATGCATGACTTCCTTGCTAATTCCATCTATTAGAGAGCAGTCTCATACTCTTAAAACTGAACGTTTATAAGTGAAAGAGCTTCTGTATTTTAAAAAAGAGCTGCCTAAATGGTAACTCTAACATTTTGGGGAGGAACACAGCAAAAATTTGGAGTCTACAGAAGTTACCCTCAAGTGACTCAAAAGACTCTGACAGTACAGTTAGGGATGAATTTAGGGATGCAAGGATGAATTCAGGAATGTAGGGAAGAATTTAATCTGCTAGTTAATATGAAACTCTATTTGTTGTCATATTTTAAAGGGTTTTCTTGTACCTAAGGTTTAGTTGATAAGAAATATATGAATTACTCACCAGAATTCTGAAGCTTACATTTTGGACAATTATTTTCTTGTGCAATAAATAAACTATAAAGGTTATATTAAAGAAACCAGTAGGAATTATGGAGAAATCACTTTGTCCACTGATACATATTCAGTCCAACAAGTACTGGCCGAGCACCTTCCATGTGCAAAACTCTACAGGTAGGTACTTTGAAAATTCTAACTAAGACACAATCCTTGCTCTCATTATCTGGTGGTGGAAAACAATTTAGTGTAAAGCTAAATATTTAATACACAATGAAAGAACTATTTTTTTCAACCAAATGCCACACATATATGAGAATACATTATGAGCTACATAAAATGTGCCGTTTTGATTGAGGATCTCACATGGTGGCATCTGAAGTGCCTGAATTATAACCGCTGCCACCCGAGTTCTTTGACTACAATGTTATGGGGCCACTCAACTGGGTCATAAGACCTTTGTGAATGTACAACTTTTTCTTATAATCAAAAAAAAATCTCACATCAATAATTTCTTTTTTCAAATGTGTTAACATACAAAGGAAAAACAAATAAAAAGTAAAGACAGTATATTCAATAGGATTGCTATTTTCTCTTCCCTTCAATTATTGAGCTAATTTCTTAACCTCGTGATTTTTCTACCACTCTCTTTTTACTGCATTATTTTGTTTTCTGTTCTGTAGAGAGTTTCCTTATTTTGGAGGCTAATGAAAAGTACTGATTCAGTAACTGTGAAATTCTTTTATTTCTTATGAAGATTTAACTGGACCTTAAGCTTTACAAAACTTAATAAATAAAGTGCCTATTCACTGTGTCAAACAGCTATGGAATGAAAAGTAACCTCTGCTCATACCTCTAATGGAATAAATATAACCTTTTCTAATTAACCAAACTACTCAACAACTCTTAGCATATAAGAGAAAAATATGATTATAAAAATTAATGCTCATTATTTAAATTTTAAGAAATAATAATACTATGCTAATTAAAGTCTGTGGTAATTGAACTCAACAAATATATTTAAAGGCGCTCAAATACAAAGGAAAAGAGTATTTCATTTAAGCACAAGCACTTACTCTGTATATAAATCTTCTATCATTGCAACAATAATAACAATGAGAGACACAGCAAATATCTGACATCCAGAACCGATGAGAGAGGAAAATATCAGTGGGTGACTTGACGGTCTAAATACATCTCCATGCACCTGCTTCCATCCATACTCATCTCCTAGGTCTCTATCCTAGATTGTTATGCACAAAGGAGAAAATCATTCAGGATCAGATTAAAATACAGGCAGGTTCCCTCCCTCTGAACTTATAGCTATTACAAGGGGTTCAAACTACCAAGAAAAGGCACTTCAAATTTAAATCAATCAAACCCTTAAGTATTGTGGTATTTACTAAGACTCCTGAAGGTTATACCCAAAAGAATTTCAAAGAATGGAAAGATAAAAGTTTTGGGAGCCAGAAGAAATGGTCAAAATAGAACTGTACACTGACTACTTTAACCTCGCTTTCAGACATGCCAGGTTCTCCCCATTCACATCATGATGGTAACTTCTCCACAACTACGGGAAGTGGAGAGCAGAAAAGTGGTACTGATGCTGGTACTAGATGCCTTTTCCAACACAAAATCATCCCTGACATCCAGAATCTGGGAAAACTATCATAAGTGGCTATCTACATTTAACTGTCTATAGCATTTTTTAAAAAAAGGATTCAATTTTTACTACTCAACCTGAGTATCTATACAGGGTTCCTTAAAGAAACCACAGTCACTCCAGACCATCATTCAGGGAGAAGCCTGGCCAGGTATGTTGGAAAAAGCACTAAATATTTTGTTTATCCTTCTGATGCTTCACATTACATATTTGTGCTTTCAATTCTCCATTTGTTTTGTTCTATTTTCCAAACTGACATTTAAAATAACTAAGAAATGTAATGCAAAGTGTTCACTCACCATGTCATCCATTTCTTCTTCTTTACTGTACCGGGCATAATCTTTTCTCAAAGTTCTCATTAAAATCATGGAAACTAAGCCCACCAGGAAGATAACCATCATAAAGGAGTTGAAAATGGAAAACCAATGAATCTAAAATAACAAATAATAAAATGTTATCAACATGAAATAGCAGTCACAAAATTCACAGGCTTCAGGATGACAACTGCAATGTTAACAGATTCTTTACCTAAAAATCCAACTTGGACAAACAGAATGAGTATTCATTAAGCAGAGGGGTTGACTTTCTAGACAGTATGCTTTAGATTCACTGAAAACATTTACCCAGATTTTCAGAATCACGTTTATTTATTAAGCTTTAGATTCACTGAAAACATTTACACAGATTTTCAGAATCACGTTTATTAAACAAAGTGTGAACTACCCATAAGGCATATGTTATTCTATGTTACAAGGGAAAGAACAGGGGCTTTGGAGTAGCAGAGGCCTGGGTTTGACCTAGGTTCTGCCAATTTCTAAGCTCAATTTTCTCAAACAAAATATGGAGGAAATAATTCATAAGTAATCTATGAAGCTTAAAAATGTGTACACTAAGTTGGGCACTGTGTCTGGCACAGTAGATACTCAAAATGTTAGTTCTCTTCCCTTTAACTGAGCAACAACCTGAACATTTCCAGGACAATTCCATCATATTGGCTGTCATGGACTTAAGCCACTTTCCTAAGTGACTCTCTTCACTTGCTTTGAGCTCATCCTCTCCATCCTGTCACCACAGCATTCACTGCTTTCTACATTAACTTCCCATGGTACACGGTACATTGAGGTGCCCCATAGTTCCTCAATGTTCTATTTTTCCCACACAATAATCACAAAATATGTTGAGATTCTGGTTCATAATCTTAGGGAACTACTGTATCTCTGAAGTCTTGAACTCGGTGCATTTGATTTCAACTGGGTTAGATCTGTGATAATGTCCAGTGATTCCTTTATTTATTAAATCACAAAAGTTCCTGGGGGACAATCCCTAAATGTCTCTTCTCTCTTCAGGGTCCATATTTCATCCTTCACCTACACTCGCCTGCAAATGATCCTTTCTTTTACTATGTAGCCTGACTTTCTGCGTTTATCCTATCAGGCTTCCTGGCAACCACCTCAAAGTTGTCTCCCTCTGAAATGAATCTTTCTACTAGGCTCCAGATATCTCATTCAGTCCTTGACTTCTTTCTTTTCCTACCGTTTTGTACCTTTAAATCTCTATCTTTCTCTAGCATCAGTCATCTCGAAAGGTCCTTATTTATAATGGCACCTATACTTCCGAGGTTGTTACAAGATTTAAACAGTAAGTAAAAAGCATATTGTATAGTATCTGCCACACTGTAAACATTAAATAAAATTGAGAGGCAATTGTAATTACTATTATCTTTAAAATTTGTTATCTATTTTCCCTTCATTCTTTCAATATTCTCACCTCCCCTTTCAATCCCAAAACTTTTTCAAATGAGGGGAATATATGTTCCCTTTTTCCACTCATATACTCCTAAATTCAATACGCTATCACATCTACCCCAAGAAATGTCTTAAAGGCTTGCAAGGAACTCTGAAACTAATTCATTTTTACATACCCTATTCTCTTTGACCTCTCAGCCACGTCTGACTCTTCCTGACACATTACCCTGTTCTACTTCACTGTCTGCTACTTCTCCTCTTTCCTCCCTGATGTCTGCTCCACCCACTGTCAGCTTTTCCAAAAGCTCCAGTCTTAGTACCCTGCTATGACTTCTTTATGCATTTAACTAGCATTCCAGTGATGGCATGACACTCCTCAACCCCCACCCCGTATCTCCAGTACTCTTTCTCCCAGGTTTCAGACTTTTGCTATGATAATTTCCACTTGAATGTCTGACTTAGCCTGCCCTGAAGTGAAATCATCGCCTTCTCTGTCATGTGTAACACTCACTTCTGATTCTCTAATTTCGTCAAATGGTACTTACATTTGGCTTTAAAATTTTTAGAATGATCTCTGGCTCTTCCTTCTCCTTAATGTTTTTTGCTGTTGTTGTATGACACTGAGCCGGTTCTGAATCACAGCAACCTTATATAGGGTTTCTGAGGCGTGACTGGTGGGTTTGAATTGCCAATCTTGTAGTCAGTAGCCTAGTATTTATCCTACAGCACCATAACAGGACTTTTATAGGTAGTAATTGTTTAGTCTGTATTTTCCTTTAGACTGTATGTGTCTTGCCTCTATCCCTTCTTCCTGTTCATGTTTTAACCTCACACCTAATAGCACGAACAGTCTCCTAGCTGCCCTTTACTTTTGGTGCTATCTCTTTCTTTCAATCTATCTATAAAGGTTATAAAAGTTTCTGAAATATCATGTCAACATATCACTCCTGATGTAATCCTTGCAGTGACACCCAACTTTTCTCTCATCAAATCTAAATGATTCTCCTTACTATTCTATGTCCTCATGTAACTGGTCACCTCACTGTATCTAGCCAGCCTATACTGCAATGATGCCTACCCCTTCTCAGGACCCCACAAATCCAGTACACTCACTCACCTTTATACCTTTGTCATAAGTTCTTCTCAACGTGGGATCTACTTCTACCTACTTCTGCAAACTCTAGCCACTTTTTAACTCACTGTCTCCTCTACACATTCCAAGTCTTCATAGATACCGATCTGCTCTAAACTCCTATAGGTATGTTGTTGCTGTATGTTGCCAAGTCAGTTCTGACTCATAGCAACCCTGGAAAGGGTTTGCAAGGACAGGTGGTGAATTCACTGGCCAACTTACACGTACATATGAGGTTACTGAAAATACCATGGTTTGTGTCAGGTACATCTTAGTTCTCAAACTGACATCTTTGCTCTTGAAAAGTATCACATAGGGGTTTAGTAACCCTACTGACTGCTGCACTCTAGCACCCCCTAGTGCTGTAAAAGGACCACCATGTTAGGACTGCCCAAGTCCACTATCTGAGGAGAACACTGAAGGAGGAGGGGACTCTAGCTCCAGGAGTAGCTTTATAAACTCTTCAACAGGGACGAAAACTCAAATAGCGTAATTCATTTATCCTAGAATCCAAAAGATTAGATATAATGATATATTCTGGTTAAATTTAATAAAGACCACAAAGATGCATGGGAAATGTCAAGAAACCTGTGATTGATAAAACTTCAGAAATCCAGTCCAAAAAGATTGGATCAAACTGAAGATAGGAGATGCAAGCCAAAAAGAAAGTCAGAGAATGGAGACGTCACTTTATGTGCTGCTGTCTTTTGATCTCAGTGCTGAAAGGGGGGAACCACCCACCTACCACGTATCTTTTTGTTACAGAGACCCAAAGTTCCCTGTACAAAATGAGTAGCAATGGCAACGGCCTTGTGATATGTGACCTAGCTTCCATCTATTGGTTACAGGCCAGAGTGTTTCTTCCCACTCTCGAGGGGGATCTATCTCCACAGCCAAATACCCTGGCTTTTCTCCATTCTCTCATTCTTTGCTTCCCAGAGAGCACATACATTCTGCTTTGTTTTTACACCACGCTGCAAATGCCACAAGAGCAGATGTCCGTTTAGGGAAGTTGGTAATGGTCCTGCACTGTCTGAGGTGGCTAAGCATGTCTGAGTTTTAGTATTAAGAAGCCCACTTGGTCACAGGCACAAGCCACTATTAACCTTATTAGTATATTATGTAATCCAATATTAGCCTTATTAGTAATAAAAGTGATATTCCAGTTTCAAATACGATATTTTTCTCCTTGTATCACTCTTAATTGGTTTAAATCACAAGTGAGAAGAAGAGAGCTATTGATTGCTTATGTAAAACTCCCTCTACCTTTACGTCCCTCAGCTCATGTCTGCAATCACTATTAACTAGATATTTGAAACCCACAGCCATCAGCATATGGCAGATGGTCAACTTGTTTGTGACATATTTTTATGCACATACTAAATGTCTTTAAATACACCAACTATTTACCTACCCTGTGTTGAAAAAAAGATGGATCCAGATATTTGTCAAATCGGTCTTCAAATTTTACATCTGACTTTTTCCATTTTACCTGAAAAAAATCTTCAAATTAATAATCTGATGATCAAACTCTAAACAAAATTTAGACAGGTTTGCACACTTAAAAATAATAAAATTTACAGTAATGGTATATAAAGTTACTGCCAATAATTTGAAAAATTGAAAACAGGTATGATTTTAAAAAAATCAATTTTGCATTATTTACAAAACTTATGAGAGGGATTCATAAAGTTCACAGAAAAATTCCAGTATCTTTTAATTCCACTTTTCCACATTTTGAAGCCCCCTCATATAACTTTAGAGATCATTTAATTTTGAAAGACCATTTACTTACTGATGATTTACACTCCCTAGCCTGATAAATGTGGTGAAAACTGAATCAACACAAGTATTCAAAACAATTAAAAGAAGAATCTATACATCTCTGCCTTTTACCTTTAATAATATAATCACAATCGTAAATTTCTTTGTAAATTTAGTTATGCAAATGTTATTTGCACTAGGAACATACGTAAAAAGCTTGAACGACTGTCAAAACTGACTACTAACAATGGATCCCCCTTATCAGGAAAAAGACTAGCAGAAAGGCTACCTACATTGAATTTATCTCTCTTCTTCCCACTATTTTAATCTTAATGGAACCAAATTAACTTGACAGTTGACCGAAGGTCGCAGGCAACCTCTTATTGTGCAGGAATATATCATTCCAAATGATAAAGCAAAACATGGGAAACTAGACTCATCTGGTAACACCTTCAACACAGCACCATCTCTGTCTGTGACAGTAGAAAGGAAAAGACGCAGAACATAAAACACTGCAATCCAAAAATGTGACCATTGAAATCCATAGCCGGCTTAGCCAAACTGCTTTGTCATAATAGTAAACTTTGCTGTTGTAAATGTATTCCTGGTGTCTAGTACTACAGACTTGAAGCAAATCTCCCTGATTTTCGGGACTCACTTAAATACACTGAGGAAATAGAGCTTTCATAACAATTTATTGCATCCCAGCTACATTTTCATTTACTAAATTCTAAAGCACACATTTAATTGGTGTGATTTGTTGTTGTCAATGTTGTCAAGTTGGTTCTAACTCATAGTAGCCCTGTATTGAACTTCCGAGGAGCAGCTGGTCTGAATCACTGACCTTGTGGTTAGCAGCTTAATACTTACTGAATATGACATCTGGATTTTGGTATTTGGAACCAGTTTCACCTTTCCTTCACTAGTTAGATTAACATCAACAATTCGATTTCCATTAAAGCCTATTTCAAGTTTTTTGTAGGTCCAGAGATAGTAATCTTCTCCATTTTCATCTGCTTCACCAACAATACCTATAAAAGAAATGATACTTCATGCAAGGCAATACAACTTAAAACTTAAAGTAACCTATAAACTGAAAATTCATTCTTTTTTTTTCTTTTTTTTTTAAATAAAAGATCAATATTATTCTTCACAGTTAAGACAAGGCAAAAGACTTGACCTGTACTTTTAGTTAATTATTTGGCAAACACACAGCATAATCACATCATAGGGAAAAAGTAATAAATGGCTCAGCATAATCTACCATTAATTTAGGGTCCTCAAAGCTCATGCTCTATCAACAGTTATCACCTTCATTATAACAATTATCACCTTACATGTGTATACTCCCTAACATCTTGAAATTTCAGGGAAGTGCTAAGACATCATCTGGCAAAGTAATCCAACAAACAGCGTCAAACTAAAATTAAAACCAAAGTCTCCAGAGGCTGTCCAGTTCTTTCTCTAATATCCCATGATATACACATTCCTGCAGCGCTCCATTTAAGTATGTAAACGCACCAAAACTTAAAATGCTTCTGCATTACACCTCAAGTCTGGATCTGTCCCAGGAAAGTCATCAAATTGAAAGAAGAAATGAAAAGAAATGGTAACAAGAAAAATTTTTAGATTATAATTTTGATCATGATTGGGGATATTGGAAGGGAAATACCCAAAGTGGGAGGGCAATAGGTAGTGGGTGATAGCCACTTCCTATGCCCCATGTCATTAAGCCTATACTTCCCAGGTGTCTTATGCTCCAGAAGGCACTCATTAAAGCCTTGAATGCATGCCACTAAAGGATTAGGGACAATTAACGATTTCTTACAAAGAAACTTGCTTTTTAACCAAAGTGATTCTCTAGTTGACAGAAATTCAAGGAGTGTTATTTTGTTTTGTTTGGGGTTGTAAAGGAATAATGAAATCCTTCTAATAATTTCATTAAGGGTTTTTTGTCTATCTATTCTGGACCCTAGACTTTAGGGTTGGGGATATAATTATAGCAAACAGAATTTATTCTTTAGGTCCCCTTAAGACTCTGATATGCTATCCTAAGAAAAGTCAGACAATTTTTTTTTTTTTCTGACAAGAATTCCTCATAGTTCAGACATTGTAGGATAACCAATAGGTCTTCTCAAACTATGGCATACCCTGGAATCCCAGGGCTGTAAAAGTTTTCTTTTAAGACAGGAAAACATAGTTGCCATTGATGCTAAAGTAGTCTACAGAAATTATTTAAAACCCTAAAGTTCTATATGAAAAAGCAGAGAATTAATGGAAAAGAACAGAAAAAACCTTTCTCTCTCCTTACCTGTTCTCTCACAAAAAAGTAGGAAGCCCAGACTATGTGTTCTCCTCAAACAAGAAGAGTTCAGAAGTTTTCAGTGAATGAATATTCAGCACATTTTCCTGCTACTTTCATAGTTGGTTACACTAATGTCTTTGTTAACGTAGTATTTATATTATGGTCATTTATATGAAATATTTACTATTTATACCTAATTAACATGCAACACAAAAGCAATAATGTATACAATTATCTCTTGAAATTAATGACTAATTTTCTTTTAAATTTCATCTTAGTATAGCATTATACTCTGATCTTATACATCCAGTCTTTCATAATTTGTTGCTCATGAATAAAGTAGTCTACTAACAATTTTTAAAATTAGAATATAAATTTCATACACGAGGAAATGTCCAAGAGGCCACCTCAGCCCCCTCCGGAGGAAAACAAATAACCTAGGAGGAAAATGTGATCAAATATTTTGTCTGTGAAGGCTGGTTATAATTCACATTCAAACTAATTTAATCAAGTCAAAACAAATTATTTCTGGATTATGCAGGTATTTCTGTGGAGCTCTGGTAGCGTAGTGGTTACGAATTGGCTGCTAATCTCATGGTCAGCAGTTCGAAACTACCAGCTGTTCCGCAGGAGAAAGATGAGGCTTTCTGTTCCTGTAAAGATTTACAGTCTTGGAAACCTGTACAGGGTCGCAACGAGTCGGAACCGACTCCACAGCACATAACAACATATCCTAGATGTTCTATTATCAATAGAAAAGCAAGAGCTAAAAGAAAAACAAAAATGTAAAACATAAAAAATTTTTAAAAATAGCAGGTGATAGCAAACCAAGTCATTCAAAAAATTTTCATCTCTAACAAGATAACTACCGCAGTACCATGTGAGCAAAAGTGGTACTTCAAGTTGGGGTGGGGCGGATATGCCGAATCATTCCCAGCTCCTTTTAATAGCCTGAGTCCAAAAAGCTGTATTGTATTTAAATTATATTTGGGCTTGTTGGAAGTGCTGTCGAGTTGGTTCTGACCTATAGTGACCCTGCATAGGGTTTCTGAGGAGCTGCTGGTGAGCTTGAACTGCCAATCTTGCAGTTCAAACAGTTTTGCAGTCTGGTGCATTTAACCCACAGTGCCACACCAGGACTTAATCATTTAAGATTTGGTAATATCAAAGGGAGGTCTGGGGTGGTACTGTGGGTTACTGCACTGGACTGCAAAGTCAGTTTGAACCGCAAGGTTGGTGGTTCAAACTCACCAGTCGGTCCTAGGGTTGCTATGGGTCGGAATCAACCCAACAGCACATAACAACAACAATTACCAAAGATCATTCACATAACAGAGGCTCATAAAATTTGTATTAAAATCATTTTTAGGAAAACAGTGAGAACACATTTACTAATGAATTACCTTAACAGAGTCATACAAATCTAGCTTCTTATGCAAATATTACCAACATTTAGGTCTGGCACACAATACTCACCCCATATTGGTAAGTCATCTATATACATCTGGTACCAGTAGTGATTTTTTATAGCATACACAAAGGCATCTCTCTTCTCTTTATCTAAGTCAATTTCACAGTAAGTGGCTGGCATCACATCATCTGCATAAAATAAAGAACTGCAAATTAGCTGAGTGGCTTATAAATCAGTTGTATAAAAAAGGCACAAGAAAAAAATGTTCATTTCCTGAAGCTAAAATTTCTTTTCATAAAAGTAGAATCTAGCAATAGCCTATTGGGGGGGGGGGGCCGGGGGGAGGCTAGTACACTACTCTTTCTTTTTTGGTTTTTTAAGATTTTTCACAATAAAACTTTTAATCATCTTTATTTTTAATCTTCTCTTACATCCAGAAAAGTACACAAGGAAGTTTATAAAGTAGCTTTAAAACATACAAAATTGATTTTTTTAAAATTTAAACACATAAAAGTTTTCATTTAAAATAAACAAGTTGAAGAATATGATCCTAACAGAGAAAACAATTTCTACCTATAAGATCTCCAGACAAATATTCACTTTAACATTTTTGGTAAGGCCAGTTGCTACAGGCCACAGATTCTACAAAGGATTTCAATGACTCCTCAAAATTAGTAAAATTGAAAGGTAAATCTCTACCCAGCAGACATCACTGTTTACAGTTACCCAAAAGTGACCTACAGATTACTCATTCCCCTTCCTTACTGCTTTCAACAATGCTGCTGCCATATTACAGTTCAGATGGCCTCAAACTTGTAAACCCAGTGTTATAAAAATGTGCCTTTGGTCATAAGTCTCTAACTAAAACAAAACAAAAACAAAAAGTCTGCAAATACTTCTAAATGTCCCATCACAAAGGATTAATTAACAACAAAGAAGAAAGCACAGTTGTTTCTTAAGTTGTCCTGAATAATAATGGTTACTTAGAATTTGAAATGTAATTTCCCAAAGAAACAATGCTCATCCTTAAAATATTATTAAAATTATGAATTCATACCCTGAATTCATAAACTAAGAATTTAATGGCTACCTATAGTGTTACTTCTACAAGAAATGGCAATCTAAGCTCTAACTCAAGTTACCAGCAGCATATATTCCCCCCAACATACAGAATTGATGTCTCTTATTAATATCTTAAAGCTGGTAACACAGTGGTTACAAGTCACACTGCTAATCTCAAGGTCAGCAATTTTAAACTACCAGCAGTACATCAGGAGAGAGATGAGGCTTTCTGCTCCTGTAAAGATTCATAATCCCATACAGAGTCACTATGAGTCAGAACCAAGTCCACAGCACATAATCACCACCACCACCACCACCATTATAGTTCAGATCAGACTGGGTACTCCAGAATTACACTATCAAATGATAGGACTCTGAAATTCCATGGGACAGGGATAAGGAATACATTCACTCCCAACACTAAAGTGAGAGAAAAGAATTGCTAGGATTTGCAACAAGAATGGTTTCCACACACATTTTCTTTCTTCCTAGGCACTTTGAGACAGCAAGAAATTTCGGATTTTCCTAATGGTAAAAACTGAGGCTGAGCAACAACAGGAGGCAAGGTCAAGAATGAGACTACTGAGAACAAACAAGATGGAAGATCAGGTAGTAGGGCAGTGAGGAGATCCATCAGCAACAACATTGAATACTGGACCAAGCAGGCTCAGGGAATGGTCCCAGAACTATGAACCTCTTGTAAGTAATCTTTAGAAAGTTGGAAGGCTTACAGCCAGTGGAATTTGTAGCAGAAGCAAGAAATCCAGTGCTTTCTAATCCAAGGTGTTCACCTGCTCCCTGAGCAGCCATCTTGGGAGAGACCAAACTGGGAAGGATCAGAGCAACCACGGACACCTGAATGAACCACGGAGATAAAGGAAGAAGACTGAAACGGGAAGCCCATCTCCTGATCACATCTACCTGGAGGCAATCAGAAAACATAAAATATACCAAGACACATACCCATCTAAGTTTTAAGGCCACAGCTAACCACTTAATATGCCCCCCCCCCCAAAAGAAACAGATGAGCATATCAGCACCTGTCCAGAAACAAGATAATGTGACTTGAGACAAATGAGCTGGAGATGACCTACACTCCAAACTGGAAGGAGGGCAGGCTTTGGAAATACCTGAGAAAGAATTCAGAAAAATGATTATAAAATGTTTCAAAACACTTTATAATGAAGTTGAGAAAAATAAGGAAGACATAAGGAAAGTCCTACAGGAACAATCAAGTAAGACAGATAAAGCATTAGAAACTATTAAAAACCTACAGAAAGAGATCCAAACAATTAATAATAGAATATCAGAAATGGACAATACACTAAAAGGGCAAAGGAGTAGAATTGAAGAGATAGATGGAAGCCAGAGCTAGTGAGCTAGAAGATAAATCTCTCAATACCACTAAGATAGAAAAACAAACAGAAAAAAGGATAAAAATATCTGAAGACAGTCTAAGATTCATGTTGAACAACATGAAGAGGAATAACTTATCAGCATTCCAGTACAGGAAGAATCCAGTACAGGAAGAAGTCCACAGAAGAAATAGTTGAAGAACTGTTGGGAGAAAATTTTCCTAACATCCTGAAAAGCGAAAAGATAAGCATCCAAGAAGCTCAACGAAACCCAGGAAGGACAGACCTAAAAGAAAAACACCAAGACATATAATAATCAAGCTCTCCAAAATCAAAGGTAAGGACAGAATCCTGAAGGCAGCTAGGGAAAAGAGAAGTGTAACATACAAAGGCAAGCAAATCAGACTATGCTCGTATCTCTCAACACAAACCATTCAGGTAAGAAAGCAATAGGGAGACATATATAAAACCCTGAAAGAAAAAAACTTCCCACCAAGACTCCTCTGCCCAGCAAAGCTGTCAATCAAATATGATGGTGTAATCAAAACATTCCATGATAAATAGGAGCTAAGGGATTTTGCCAAAGCCAACCCTGAAATAAAAAACATCCTAAAGGGAATTCTGTGGACAGAGAACCAACAAGAACAGACAACAACCAGAGAATGATGTACATGGCAGCATCACCCGGAAGTCAATCGACAAATGGAAGAGTCGAGAACAGCATAAAACTATAAGAACAAATTCAGAGGATCTGGGAGGTCAGTCTATGATCAAAACAATTACAATGTTAAAGAAGGTAAACACAGAGGAACAGAGATCTAGGTGGTGGGAAAGTCACGTAAATTACAGAATAAAATAGACTGTCTAAAGTGAAGGGAAAAGTTAAAGGAATATAAGGTAACCACAATGGTGGGACTGGAGTAGGGGATATCCAGGGAGGTGGAGGGAGGTAACAGTAGTGCAAAGGGTAATGGCAGATACATCATAGTTTCGGTGTTGGGAAGGGCAATACAAAAAGGGCGAGGAGGTAGACAGGGGAACACTGAGACAAGTTTACATGGGCTAAGCAGGACAGAGGTAAACAGTGATGCATGCTTAACCTTGGAACAAGATGGCTCTGTGATACAGGGATCTAGGCATAGTTTGAAGAGGGGAAACAATACTAAGATGCTTGACTGTCTTATGAATATTGGTTTCCCTTGCCTACTACTGTAAAATAGACACTTGAGTGGGATAGAAAGGAATGTCGGGAAACACGATTACAGAAAACCTGTGAGCCCGTCTTCAGCCTATAACTGATTGGAATACCTAAAAGGGGTTCTAGAACTTTCCCAGTGAAACAGGCCTCTTGCAGAGCCTTTGCAGAGTATAGAACCTTAGGTGGAATCCTAAATCCCATCTAGAACCTCCTGAGGTGGTATATTCCCACTAGAAAGGACAAGCAGACCAGCATGGAACAGCTAGAGTGACAGAAGATGCATCTTCACAGAAAGATCATCAGGAAACACCCAAAACAAAAATGTCAGCATGACTGGCTACTACAAGAATAAGCAAGCTATTCACTGAGAAGCCATCATGGCAAGCAATCAAGTTCCTTCAAGCCAAGCCCCTCTAAGACTGAAACTCAAAGGGAACACATGAGCAGGCATGTAAGCTTGCTGGTGAGCATGTTGGTCTACTGGTGAACAGAAGAGAGGGAAAGGCAGCAATGAAGAAATGGGCTGAGTTCAACCATGGTCCATTGATTCTCATTAACCTGGAGATGAGAGAGAGAAGAGGAAGGGCTGCTGGTCTAATGTGTGGTGAGATCTGGGGACACCTAAGCCCATGGAAAAGGACATGGCCACAGAGGACTAGAGCTAAGAGTGAACCATCCAGCTGATATGAAGTGAGGGGAGAGACACAAAAACATCCAATTTGCAGACAGTACCTATTTGACCTAGCTTCGATGGCTTGATAATCAGAACTCGACTAGAGGAAGACTAAAAAAAAAAAAATTTTTTTTGATAAAGGAAACAAGGGTAGATTGCTACAATTTGATGACCCTGACCTATACTCATGGAGGTAGTAACTCTAAATACCAACAGAGAGGTATTCTATCAAATAGCAATGCTATCCCCTCTGTACACAGGGACAGGCAACTTAGACATTGTTGTTGTTAGGTGCTATGGAGTCAGCACCGACTCATAGCAACCCTATGCACAGCAGAACGAAATACTGCCCGATCCTGGGCCAACCTCACTACTGTTGTCATCGATGCTGCCACTTGGCCAATCCATCTCTTTGGGGGTCTTCCTCTTTTTCTCTGACCCTTACCAAACATCATATCCTTCTCCCACAAATGAAAATAAGAAGGTCAGAGAATGTTATTTTCCATGAATATAATTTAAATGAATATAAATTATAAGATATATACCACCGCTCCCTACCCCACCCCCCAAAAAAAGCTAAGGGAATAATACAGACTTGATGTTCTTTTCATTTTTTTACCCAGTTTCTGAATCCAATTTTATTTAGAATCACCCCCAAGAAACGTATGTATGGTAAACTGAAATACTTCGAACTTTAAATTAAAAAAAGAATGAGACTACTATAAAGGGCCACAAATGCAGCAGAGGCTAGGAGAACTGACAGCAAGAGATCCCTAGATCCCCAAATGGAATCTCTATGGAGTCTGGTAATAAAACAAGGGCGGCAGAGGACACGGCTGGATCAACGAAGGTTTTGCAGCAACAGATGGCTGCAGTGGCTTTGGGAGATCTCACAGCTAC